CTGGGCATGGTGGCGCGTGCCTGTAGTCCCAGCTACTCAGGAGGCTGAGGCAGGAGAATTGCCTGAACCCAGGAGGCGGAGGTTGCAGTGAGCCGATATCGCACCATTGCACTCCAGCCTGGGTAACATGAGTGAAATTCCGTCTCAAAAAAAAAAAAAAAAACTCTTTCAAAAATAGAGGAGTAAACACTTCCAAATTCATTTTACTTTATTTATTTTTACTTTTCATTTTTGTGGGTACACAGTAGGTATATATACTTACGGGGTACATGAGATGTTTTGAGACAGGCATGTATTGCATAATGCATAATAATCATATCATGGAGAATGGGGTATCCGTCGCCTCAAGTATTTATCCTTTGGGTTACAAACAATCCAATTACATTCGTTTAGTTATTTTATTTCATTTATTTATTTGTTTATTTTATTATTATTTTTTTGAGATGAAGTCTTGCTCTGTCACCTGGGCTGGAGTGCAATGGCACGATCTGGGCTCACTGCAACCTCTGCCTCCTGGGTTCACACAATTCTCCTGCCTCCTTCCCACATAGCTGGATGTGGGAATTCACTCAAGGTGGTAGCAAAAATATTAAGGGAAAAATATTAGAGAAAGTTATACAGTCTCAAACTCGTTTGGAAGGCCTAAGAGTTTTTTCTGTACTTCGTGGCTGAAGGCAGCCTAAATCCCCTTTACACTTAGTTAATAAGTAAAGCAAATAGCTGGGGGATGTGGGGGAGTTTACCCAACTAACTTGTTTACCCATGTGGTCTTAAAACTAACCTTTGAGCCGGATGGCTCTCCCAGGGGGAAATTGACCAGGGATATTATTTACTAATAATGTTTGCTTTGGGCATCAGAACCTGGCCTTTACTCTTTCTCTACAAGTGTGTTGACTTAAAGCTTCTGTTATTAAATCGATACTGAATAAATGGGGAAAGGGCAAACTAGTGAGTGTTGTGTAGCTGCGATCTCTCTCTGTGAGTGGGTCACGACTCCTCAGCCCACTTGTTCACGGTGTTCTGTGTGTGAGTGCATTTATTCATCCGTCATGCAGCTGGAGTCTGTGGGATGGACCCCGGTGGCTGGGATTACAGGTGCACACCACCACACCCGACTAATTTTTGTATTTTTAGTAGAGACAGGGTTTCACTATGTTAGCCAGGCTGGTCTTGAACTCCTGACCTCATCGTCCACCCACCTTGGCCTCCCAAAGTGCTGGGATTACAGGCGTGAGCCACTGCACCCAGCCTATTGATTTTTTTGAGACAGTCTCACTCTGTTGCCCAGGCTGGAGTGCAGTGATGTGATCTTGGCTCACCGCAACCTCCACCTCCCAGGTTAAAGCAATTCTCCTGCCTCAGCCTCCCGAGTAGCTGGGATTACAGGCACCTGCCACCATGCCCATCTAATTTTTGTATTTTTAGTAGAGATGGGGTTTCATCACATTGGCCAGGCTGGTCTTGAACTCCTGACCTCAGGTGATCTGCCCACCTGGACCTCCCAAAGTGCTGGGATTACAGGCATGAACCACTACACCTGGACTCCTTTTAGTTATTTTAAAATCTGTAATTAAATTACTGTTGACTATAGTCACCCTGTCATGCTATGGAATACTAGGTCTTATTCATTATATATATATTTTTGGACACATTAACTATTCCCACCTTCCCCCACACTTCCTCTGGCTAATCTTGAAATTAGCCAGGTGTCCTGGCAGGTGCCTTTAATACCAGATACTTGAGAGGCTGAGGCAGGAGAATTGCTTGAACCCAGGAGGCAGAGGTTGCAGTGAGCCAAGATCGCACCACTCCAGCCTGGGTGACAAGAGTAAAACTTCATCTCAAAAAAA